CGGGTTATTGGTTAAAGAAACAGAACGAGCTAGCGGAAAACTCTGCGAGTTATAAAAATTTCACGCCAGTTTTCAGGTTTAAGCCCCCGGCCAGTCGAGCCCCCTCGTGCTCACCATTTGAGGGCCCCAAACACTGCGCTGCCCTAGTCAAATGTACGCGGTCATTCATTCTTGGGCACCTTACCTAAAAAACGATTCCTTATCTTTTCAGATTCATTTGGCGGTCATATCAGTCACTCACCGATCATAATCTGGTACCTGATTAACAATAACTTGAAGTTGCTAAGTGTTGTGTTTCCTCCTGAAATCATATCCACAAGCTTGTCCGTGCGTTCTGCGCCTATTCTTTATTGATTTTTATCCTTTTTGTGTATGTTTTTAAGGACCAGAATGCGCCTAATCGTTATATCTTTCTTTCCTACGCTCAAAAGCCTGTGAAAATAGCAAAGCTGCTGCTTGTCCGCCTTTTACTTGTCCACTGTCACCGCTCACATTAACCCCTCTTTCTGCACAACAAGGACCCGATGTCATGACGCTTTGATGAGCAAAAAATACCGTCCGTTCTCAACTGGTCCAACAACTAGCCGCCCTGCTAGCTACCTCGACGACAAAGTTTTCACCTTCCCAAAACTAGGTACCTACTCTGGCCCAACTAGTACTTGGCTTCTAGACCAGCAAACGTATTCACCTTTCTTGGGTCCATTTAGCTTGCTGTTATCTCGTTTTGGATTTTCTTCTATCGACGTTGTTGTATCTTATGCCTCCTAACACCTACCACGCGCTACTGCTTTCATTCTATTTCTTTCTCGTCGCCCCACTTCCCAAGCTTCAATCCTCGACTGCAGTTGCCCAAACGCCTCTTAGAACTGTTATTCATTCAAACTGGCTGGTGTCCAGTCTACACTCACACGGTCCCCCAAGAAAAGGGAAATTACCCGTGAGCCTACATCTGCGTGATTCCCTGTGCCAATCTCCGTCTCACCCAGAACCAGCTGCCACGGAACTGCGTATCCCTTCTCCGACCCTTGACGACCGTTACGGGGTTGTCCATGAACCGAAGCATGTCAGTGCGATGATGGCATGGCACTGTCATACCCAGTGAGATGGCACTCCCGCAACTACTTTCTCCAGAATCTCGACGGCAACCCCTTGCCCACTCAACCCTGTGGTTACAACTCCGAGCAGTTCTCATCCGACCCCGTCTCCGGGATGAGCTCTTCCGTATCCAATGAATTTGCTATCAGATTTGGCTAGCCTGGCTTCTTTTGCTGCAATTTCGGCTTGCCTCTTGCACAAGTTCAAATACGTATACGTAGTTCGGGTCACCCTATATATTAGCAACATGTCCCCATCCAACCTATCCCCCTGCACCTGACTTCCCCACAACAGTGCAATCAATGAGTCTGCTTACTTTTAGATTAAACCACATTTTTGAGACAAAACTTGCCATTTGCTTTCAATTTCAATTATCCCATCTTCATCTCCACTTTTGCTCGTTGTGACTCCGGCCATTTACCTAACCACCCAAGGTAACCCATGACCAGCAATGGTTTTCAGTTTTAGTTCATGCTACCTGACTGTCTTTGAACTAGTCAGACCTCATGCCCATTGTTCCCAACAAGCTTGGAAATAACCTATTAATACTATATCATCGGGTATTCTCCACTGTTTATGACATTGTCCTCTTATTGCGCAATCCGCACCCCCACCAATCCCCCGGTCATGCTCCATTCTGACTAAAAGACTTCGATCATGCCAGACGGTATGCCACCCACAAGTTGGGAATAAACTTTATTATTATCGTTATTATTATATATCATGTCCAAAATTTCCCCAAATAATCAGCTTTCAGTGGAAGAGCCCATAATAAACCAGTGTAATGAGATAAGCCCCTCGCCGAATAGTTGTTCCTCAACAAATACAAACTTAACGTTAACAAACTATTAGACAAGAAAGTAAACACTTCGTTGCATCTTTTTTCGAAAAAAACTGAACATCCTTACGCGGATATTCATTGACTGTCACACAACTGTAAACGAACGCCGCAAGCTCCATAATAAACCCCACCTTCCTTTAGACGTGAGGAGGGTTTCCGAGGAGGATACACACCACTTGCATGCTTTGTTAGTAGTATCCGTCAATTCGCCCGTTTCTCGAATCTTGTTCCAGATTAACTACCTTCAATTACAGGGCATCTTTCTTACGTCGCCTCGATACAGATCTAAAAACTTTGTCCAACCAGCTCTCACCCGCCACAATGTACGACCAGAATCAACTTAGGGTCCTCTGGAGGCGGAGAGATGCGCTTTAGAATTATTCGCAGCAGTCGGATATTATCGGCGTATTCCACTAAGATAACTGCGGACATTTATGTAGATGTATTAGTGACTGGGTTTCGTTGAAAATTGGGTAGAATTTTCCGTTCTGTTGGACGTGAACATTCGCTGATCGGGCTTGTATGGACAGAAAAAGTTTTGGCATCGCACAGACCCACGTTAACAATGTTAATAATATTTATCCCCAACTTTTGAGTGGCACGCCCTCGTTCCACAGTATACTGGTACAGTCAGATAAAAGCATGACTGGTGTAAATCATGGGTACTGAGGACCGTGCGGAAATGAGACATCGTCACAAATAGCGAGCATTGTCTAACGTAGGTGCGGTGAGCAGGGAAACACAAGTATTATTTTTTTTAACTTTTGGAAACATATTAAGCCAAAACAATATCAGACCATCAAAATTTGAGGATGGCAGGCAAACCACAACGAAAAAGGGTGAAACTACAGGCATCTTTTCTGACAAGTGGTCAGAAAGAAGTGGGAGATGCAGGAAGTGAGGAACGCTAGCAGCGGATTTGGTGGAGCAGTAGAGTTACGGTGATCCGGCCGATCAATATGAACAAAAACTGAAGACGAGCGCCAAGTTTAAATGGTTTTGGACGTTTTTGCTAATGACCAGATTCATAAAAAAGGTAGGTGGGATGTTGGAGCACAGTAACTAGCAGTGCAGATAAAAGAGAGAAGGAAGCTAAGAATTATGATGTACAGTGAAACTGTATAAGCCCACTGGTGTCACTGTTAGAACAACTTCTAGTGCGAAGATTCCCCGGGAAAGAAACTTCGTGCTAGCGCAGAGAAAAACTATTGGCCTTGTAGAGATCAAAAACGAAATGTCCTGGGAGATTTTCAAACCCGAAGAAAGGCTTCAAAAGATGAGAATGAAATCGTTTTACAGGCGGCTAGCGTCAGGTGAAGAATTTGTTTCCAGTAACAAGTGAAAGAACGAGTAGTCGGGGGTGGCACAGTGAACATTAAGAGTGACCAGCTGCAGGTGTGCCATCAAACTTTGCACGTCGGTGCCGTGTCATCATTGTACTGACATCCTTTGTTTTCTGTACAGTCTCTTAACTGGCGTCATGTTTAAGGTGATCGAACTAAGTGGTGGAAGTATGCAGCCAGAGATATTATTGGGTTGGCCTAAGGAATCAGTAGGGGAGAACAAATCCAGTGTAAGAGTGCAGGTATATTTTTGGTCCGGATGAGGATCCGTTCGGGTGTAGAACGCAGACTGGTTGGAGTGAATAATGCCCATACGGGTGCAATTGAAGGATCGGGGACCGTCGAACAGGCATACTTACGGAAAGAACAAGCAGTCGTTGCTTTGGAATGCTGGTATTTGGAAGTTTTTGCATACATTCAGTGTGCTGAAAAGGCCCTCCTGGCGCATGAAACACATACGGCCTGGAATTGGGATAGGAATGGTAAGATACGGGAGTTGATCACACTGGGAGGGATAGCGCGCAGTTAGCCGTTTTGGGCGAATCATTTAGGGTTATTAGGGCGAGTAGAATTGGCTCGGAAATGACGATTGAATGAAACGGGGAATAATAAACTAAATTTTTAGTTCCAGTTAAGGGGGAAAGAAAGCTTTACTGCCGCTATTCGGGTCAGAGGATAATGTGGTCATATTCATGTTGTGGACTCAAATTCAAAAATACCGCTACTTGCGAGCATGAGGGTAGTGAATGGATGATGTCCAAGCTTGGAAGGTATTTAAGGGTGACTGTAGTCATTAGGTGTTGTAGCGACGCGGTGAAGACCGTTCCTCAAAACACCGGTCACCATCCAGGCGGAGATGGTGAGGATGTTGATGAGTGATTGAAGTGAACATGTGTGACCATGTGTGATTATAAGTGTTAAGCTTGGGAGAGATTGGCCTAAAAGTGTTCCTGAAGACCCAAACACAAAGCTGAAAATCGTGACAGGTAGTTAATACTCTCCGTGAACTGACCATTTATATACCTTCATGCATCAGTGATACCACGGGCGGATCGCTTATGACTGTAGCAGAGGCCACATTATCGTCCAAATTTGTGGTCAAATCACCTGAACCAATCAAATGCTTTTGGAGTGGGGTCTCTGGCTAGTCTGCACTCTTGGGTTTCAGGGGCACCGAGCGCAAAAACCGACTGTTTACGGATGGTTCAAGTGGTCTAACAGGAAATTTGGAGACGGAATGAAGGCCACGTCATACCGTTTCCTTTTTGCATTTCTAATTATAGAGCCTTAGTGAGCATACTGACAGGCGAAGCATGCGAACACAGGCGGTAGTAGGGATTTATGAGCTGTATCCGAAAGCAAGTGGCAAAGCAAAATGCCCGCACGCCTAAACATGAGCTATTTATCATATGGGCTTTGATTACAGGACGTAGAAATCACCAAAATCATCATAGCTTGATGGTCTTGTCAAATGCTAGCCGTAGGCCTAATATGCTGGATGTGACTAAAAGTTTGCTTGTAACGCGTGGATTAGTGAGACACATGCGGCGCTGTTTCTCCCGAACTACCAGACATTTGTCACACGAGATCAATAAGTGGCACTCCTGACGAGCATACGGTACGCATACGTTGTAGAAGGCCCTGTCCGTAAACCGAAGCATGTCAGTGTCACACCCACTGTGATGGCACTCGTGCAACTACTTTCTTTAGAATCTTGGGCATCACTTCTCGTTTATGGGACGAGTTCTTTTGTACCCGATGAATTTGCGCTCTAATTTGGTCAGCTTGGTTTTCTGCTGCAATTTCGGCTTGCCTTTCCCAAAGTTTAATGCATAAGGTGCTCTGTTGGCCCTATGCATTAGCGCCATCTCTTTATCCAACTTATCCTTTGCACCTGACTTTCCTAGAAGAATGCAAACGGTTAGTTTCCTCAGTTTCAGATTAAACCATGTTTTTGAAACAAAA